CTGTTCTGATGATGATTAATGATGAAGATGATGATGACGATGGTGGTGATGATGATTAAGATGATGATGACGATTAAATGACGATGATGATGATGATGATGGTGATGATGGTAATGGTATGCTCATAACAACAATAATGACAGTAACAATAATAATACTAACAACAACAACATCAGCCGTCATCTTCAAAATGATAGGAACTGGAAATGAATTCGACGCTCCAGTCATCAGTTATAATAATAAAAATTATAATAAAAATTATATAAAAATATAATAATAATGAAAATAATGAGGAAGATGACGACGACGATGATGATGATGTTGATGATGAGAATAATTAAAACGATAGTAATGATTACATAGCAGAGTGTCAGAATCAAAGTCGGAATCTGATATTTCTCTCCAACACACTGCTACATAGACTACTAAAATGATGTAAATGACAAACATTTAGTGATCACCGAGGCAATACTGATAGCAAGTAACAACGTGACTAATGCTACGATGATTATGGGCATAAATTATGTTAACGACAAGTATTAATTATGTTAATTTAGTGTAGTGTAGCGAATATTATTACGTTGATAAAGATAGTAGCAGGGTAAAATATTAAATCTGAATAATCGTCTTTTCTGCCCCATGCTAACGTTCAAGGCATTAATCATTTTATTTTTTAGATACAAACGAACATACAAATGAACAAACAAACAAAGACAAACAAACAGACAAATATATATGTATATGCATTCGTTTATACAAACATACGGACATTTATACATTACATACATTCAAAAACATACCTGCCAGCTACATAGACATATACATACAAAACAACACACAGAAAATGTAACTGGCAAATATACAAACAGAAGATATACAAACAGAAGATATACAAACATACAAGCAATGTAAACAAACAAAACATACAAACGCATATGTATGCGTGCATGTATACAAACTGACATACAAAATTTGTGTCGCAATATTGTTTCGTGACTTTAAGCAACTTTTAACACGAGCCATCTTCTGCTGTTCACACTAGCAACTTCTCGGACATTTTTTCAGTGCATCGTGGTATACGAATACCGAAAATACCAAATTGTACACTGTTTTGTATGGCTTTACATGTAACGTTAGGCCTGCATTGGTTTTTTGTATTTTAACAAAGTTCCTGATACAAAAATTACACATATGTATACCTCTTTTCATGTATCTCTGTATTTTTCGAACCCTGAAACAACAAATACACACACATTTGTATATCTTTACATGCAATGATGGGTATACAATTTGGTATTTATGCGTATTTCCTGTGTAATACTTGGTATCAGTGTTGCCTTTACATGATGTTGTTATGTCTGATCATGTGCCAGGGCGCTCAAACATGCGTTGGTGAATTTAATACAGCAACCACATCATCTTAAGCCTACTTCAATTCATCATCATCAGTCAAGTACTAAGGCTTCACACATGCAAACACACTCCTTCACTCACTCATTCATTTACTCATTCATTCACTCGTTCACTTAATTATTCATTCATTCGCACAAATATTTTTTTTTTACTGAAGATTCAAATCTCAGAAATATGCCAAGAAAGGTGAAGATAAGAATTTGTTTAGACACAAAAAATAACTCATTCTTGCTCTAATAAGACGTGGATGAATGAATGAAGGAAGAAATAAATAAATAAATCTTTGAATGAATGAATGAAATAATGAAGAAATGATTACATGATTACATGATTGAAAGAATAAATGACAGATAGGTTATAAAATCGAAGATGAAAAATTTTTTTTTAATATTTAAACAAAAATTATTTGAGCATAAGTCGTCTCAGGTATACACTCTAAACCAAACACATACAAACACACACACACATACACACACACAAACATACACAAACACACACACTTCCAGTCATGAATGACACATTTGCGCCTCGCTACACATAAACAAACAATGTTTAAGCGAGGAACACGAGAATGGATGGATGTATGTATGCATGTAATGTATGCCTGTATGTTTGTCTATGTAAGTATGTATGCCAGTATGTTTGTCTGTATGTAAGTATGTATGTATGTTTGTATGTACGTATGCATATATTTATGTTTTTTGTATGCATGTTTGTATGTTTCTTTGTATGTATGCGTGTATGTATGTATGTTTGTTTGTTTGTTTGTATGTATGTTTGTACGTATGTATGTACAGACTCAAATAATTACACGTATGCGTGCCCCAGAACGGCCAACGAAGCATATCAACATTTGTATATGGATAGACAGATAGAAAAAAATGTAAGCAAAAATAAAAAGATATACAAAGGTATGTATTGTATTTTATGTATTGTGTTGTATGTATTGTGTTGTACTGTTTCTTGTATTTGTTTTATATTGAATGTGTTTTCTTGTAATGTATGTATCGTAATGAGATGAATTTTATTTTTGTGCAGACATAAACAAACTGTGGCACACACAGAGATGTAAACATATACATGCATACACACATATATACGCACACACACACACACGCACACGCACAAATACAAGGAGACATTTCAGTTGCGTTAGATTTACTGTTTAGTGTTGTGTTCTTGCATTTCTACATACGCTGAGATAGAAGAATTTTTTTTTATATATATTCCCCTTTATTTATTATTTATTTTTACCATCATATTTTATCAGTTTTCTTTATGTGTGTGTGTATTTGTGTTTGTGTGTGTATGAGTGTGTGTGTGTGTGTGTGCGTGTGTGAGTGTGTGTGTGTGTGTGTGTGTGTGTGTGTGTGTGTGTGTGTGTGTGTGTGTGTGTGTGTGTGTGTGTGTGTGTGTATGTGTGGTTACGCATTTTTCTCTTGTCCTCTTGTCCGAAAGATAATTTCTTTGCTAAGAAAAATATGAATAAATAAAACAAACGAATGAATGAACGAACGAACGAACGAACGAATGAATGAATGAGCAAATGCATGCGTGTATGTGTGAATGAATGAATGTGTGAAAGCATGAACAAATAAATCACGGAATGAGTGAACGAATGAGCCTATGAACAAAACTTTTAAACTTTCTTAGAAATAAATAAAATTTTCATAACTCTTTGTTTGAAAATTGTTTTTCTTTAAAATTACTGTTTTAAGTTTTTCATCATTTATTTTCCATCATTTTTTCCCAACATCTGTTTGGGTTTTTCATAAAAACTTTGTATAGGCAAACAATTTCAAAGTGTGTTTTCACTGTATCTCTGAACAACCTTTACTCATCTCATAAATTTTTATAAGTTTGTTTGCTTGTTTGTTTGCTTGTTTGTTTGCGTACGTGTGTTTGTTTGTAACGATGACTGTATTGATGATTCAAACTATGATTGTGGTGATTAAAATGATGAGTTAAATGATGATGATGATTATTCTAGTGATGATAATGATGACATTTCGAATGACGCGATATACCATTAGGTGCTGTCTGTTGGATTTAATAACTTGGAATGCAACATTAATGAGAGTGTTGATTCGTGACGATGTTTTGTCGTTTTTAGCGGGTGTATTTTTCAGTTTGTTGTATTTTGTGTTGTTGTTTTGTATTTTATTGTATATTGTTGTAGTATTTTGTATCGTTTTTTTGTACTTTTTTTTCTCTATTTTGGGTAGTTTTGAGGTTTTAGATTCTGTGGTTTTGTTTATGTTTACGGGATTGATTGTTTCATTGTCATCTTTTTGGTAATATTTGCGTTGTTGTTTTTGTTGTTGTTGATGTTTTTAATGTTGATGTATTTGACATGTTAGTGGTGATAATGGAAATATTGTTGCGTTGTTGTTGTTTGGGGTATTTGTGTGGTTGACTTTGTAGTTGCTATTGCCTTTGTTTTTGTGGTAGATGTGGTTGCAGTCTGTGGTTGTTGTAGTTGGTGTGGTTGCAGTCAGGGGCGTCATTTCAGATGTTGGTTGGGAGGGGCGAACTTATGTGGCCTATGACTTAGCATGTAACACACACACACACACACATATATATATATATATATATATATATATATATATATATATATATATATATATATATATATATATATATATATATATATATTATTTAAGATCACGGCGTTTCTTACAGTACTCAATCTATATGATAGTTTCTCGATTCTTCGAATAATTCTCCGATCTACTAAACTTAACTTGTTAATGCTATTAACAAAATTCCTATTTACAGAAGATGTCATTATCTACATGTATGCATATAGTACTATTTCCACTACCTAGTCTCGTCAGTGCAACATTATAATAAATTATACATTTTTAAAGTTTTTAAAATTTCAAAATTTTTAAAGTTTTAAAATTACTAAATTATATATCCTATATATATCCTTTTTACAAAGAATTTAAAATTAACACTTTTATAATTTAAAACAGAACATGAATTATTGTAGGAACAAATGAAATAAATTGTATAGCGCTTGACATTTAAAAATTCAAAAAGCACAATATTTTGTATATATAATTATAATAAATTATATAATTTTATATAATTATTTTATAGTGTTTGCAATTTTGTCATAATAATTTCGTACAGCAAAAATTTAGAATTTTGATTTCTGGGGGGGCACTGCCTCCCCCCAAATGACGCCTCTGGTTGCAGTCTGTAGATGTTGTAGTTGGTGGTGTTAAACGTTTTACGAAACCATTGTTGTTGTAGTTGGCTCACATAATGCTCTGCTGCATTATTCATTGGCCCTTCCATGCGAAGTATTGTTTCAGAGGTAATTTTGATGAAATTTTTCTTTTTTGAAAAAACCGGATATTATGCAAATCAGCATAAACTATGAAAAAATAAATTTGTTAGAGAAAAATGTGAACCACAAAATTATATATACGCACACAAACACACACACACGCACGCACACACACACATATATACAAACACACACACTGAATAAGAAACATTTGTATATATGTTGATCTCTTTAATTTATTGTACACCAGCAAATATACAAATGAAAAATGTATGCAACCCAAAAA